CTTTTAACCCCGTCCTGCAGGCCTTCATGAACTGCCATGCTGTGACAATTACCTCCCCTCCTCCTTTACCACTCACCATGTGCCCACATCTATGACTAATTGTTTCTACTCCCTTTACTTATCAAGTTTCACCCTTCGAGACTGACACTTATTAATAGGCAACGACCGTCTGCAGCTGATTGAGAGGACACGAAATTTCATGACGTCATTCAATCCTGCTCAACTGGTGATTTTCGCCTTGTCCTAATGGATTAGCAGATACCATTTAGGCAAGAAAAAGGAAGAGGGACATTACCATGTCTGGCTCATGAGCCGTAATCGGCCAGCCAGAAATAACCAATCCTTAACTCTTGCCTTTGTCGGCAATAATCATGAGGTGCAATATTGACACAACAGGTAATGCTGAAACACGCATTTCGACGAAATGTTTTCATTATGTAACGCAGCTAGGATGTTCTGCATTGTTCTTTATGCGTTCGTCATTTGCCTTCATATAAATGCTGGATTCAAATGATACAATGTTCTTTATCGTCACATGATCTTCCCCAAAAACACACAGCCCCTGATATTCCGGACACGTTGTAGCTGCTTGAAACAATTACAGCATCTGGGTAATATGTGCCTAAACTGTAAACTTGTGCCTGGTGTACCTGCTATGACTTTCAAAAGGTAGGATATTGATGAGATAAATTGGGGCATGATATTTCAGAGTAACCCCGTATTTGCATTTCAGTTGGATCTATTAGTTTTCGCAAGTAAATCTCGTTGGCAGCCTATATGAATGTCATGACAATTCGGCCGTTTCAGCGCACCATTTTTGCGGACGCCAGGTGAAACTCTCTAAGTATTCCGTTATGCGGCCTATTTATTATCAATCCCCAAGTTTCACGCCGTAGGCCTCGCCGATGTTCTCCTCCTGTTTCAAAACGCTTGCTGGTACCAATGATCAGAGAAAAAAATTAGGCACCTGATAAGGAAGAACCATGTTTCGTTTTTTTATATCATCCACATCCAACTCGATGCACATATGAACTCATTTTAGTCAAAATACAAATTAAAATAAAGAAAATCATATAGCTGTTTACGTTCAAAATCCTTCGCAGGAAATGATGAATTCTGTTTCCTTTTACCAACATGCAAAACATTTCATTTTTGCGACACCACTGAAAACATAAACTTGCATTAATAAGTAAGCAGAGACATATATCATGTCGTTGTACAGCAAGCCGCTAAACGTAGCCAAGCATATAAGTTTCAGAAATGTCCGAAAATTTTTCATTACTATGCGATTGCTCTCGAATACACAAAGGTCGGTTGGAGAATGCTGGCGTTCAAATGGTAGTAAAGACCATTGTATTTCAATTCTTCCTGTAGTATTTCATATTTAACATGTTGGTAGGTATCATTTTGCCAATGTTCACGCGCGTGTCGTAGCCTTCGAAGTCTAAATAAAAAGACAACATTTTACGTTTATTTTGATCAGATTTTCGACAATTTGAAAATTGAGTTGTGTGACACTCAAATGAGCAAAACATTGTTATATACCTTGTTGGGTTATAATCGTTTCCAGGCTCCATGTCATGCTTCATATCCTTGTACCGAGCAACTGTAGAGTTGCGTCTCAATATATTTTGCTTGGAAAGTGTTAACCGCTGAGACATGTCATCGTCTTCACCACCCCATCCGTAGTAAGTATTTGGAAATCCACGAGCTTTTTTAAATTGGATTGGGTGCATCGCCACACCCCCACCAAATATAGTTTTGTAAGGTGTTCTAAAGTAGGTGAAATAAAAAGTGGTTAGAGTTGCAGTTGTGCCTTTATCTGAACAAACCAACGATCACGAGATTCGTAGGATTTATTGACGTCATCATTTCGCGACCTCTGCAAACGGCCACTGCCTATTAAGTGTCAACCAAAAAGGATAAAATTGATAGAAAAAGAGAGTAGAAGCTATTAGGGTTAGTATGGTCGAATGTTAGGGGGGTAGAGGAAGGAGGAGGTTGTAGTCACAGAATGACAGTTCATGTCAAAAAAGCCTGTGGGACGTGGTTAAATAAGGGGGGGCAGAGGGCAGGGTATCAATAATTCCTTATAAGGGACGAGAAGGCGTGAGCGGGAATAAGTTGATCGATCATTACCACGGCAATGTGCGGTCGATCACATGAGCCAGATGCTTACAAAGTTCTGGTTTTCTCCTCCGTATTGCAGCGGCCTCCTCAAATCATAAGAGACGTCTGTCATTGCCCAAAATACGGCCTTAACTGCAAACTGTTGGTCGACCGTATGGTTGGTGTCCACTACGGTGTCCACTACCGCGTTGCTCATTGCGTTTGCGTGAGCCTGATGTACTTGTATCCGCAATTACATGTAAATCCGTTAACAGAGTTTGGTGTGGCGTACATAGGCAGAATGTCTTTAGTTGGTTGAACTGGAATATCCGATGTTGTGCTTAAGCACAACAATTTAGGGGAGGGGGGTAAGGTCTTCCAATCGTACATCAAAGTCTTCGTTTTATCACGTTGGGTAGAGTATCATCCACGAAAAGTAGAAAATGCTGACTGAATTTCTTGAAACTTATATTTCAGTAGAATTTTCATGTCTGCCGTTGCGGTACTTATAAATAAATATCTCTGGATAGCAGTTTCCACGAAAAACTATCCTGCGAATGCTCAAGGCTTCATCGATGGTATCCAAAAGACAGGTTCTAGCAACTCTTTTGAAAAGGCACAAAACAAAGATTTGTCGCCTATGAATAGAAAAGAAACTAAGAAATAGGATGTATGTGCATGTGGTTTTATGGTAGATGGACCTTTGCATGGAACCATCTACGTGCCTGCATCTAAGCACGTCTTAGAAAGACAGGGTGTCGTACTTATTATTTTGGGTCGTTTTCTGATCTTTGCATGCACCACGTAAATAGCTCTAAGTAGCAGGTCTCCTTTTTAGGGTTTTCGACTTTGGCAACATGTCATTCACGTATTGTCTATAACAATCAGTTTCTGTAAGCTTTTAGCCAATTTTCGTTCAATATTCCACATTAAAATATACTCTAGAACTGATTCTAATTGACTGCCCATAGATAAGCCAGCTATTTTTGCATAACTGTACTAGCTCCCGTAGTTCGCCTGATTTTAGGCATGCTTTAGCCACATGCTCACAAATTATGCTATTGGTTTCATCTAGTGGCGAAATTGTGAACCGACTTTGCACACGGACTTTGCACACTTTGTAAATTGTCATTCCTTCAGATCTTCCACGAATGTAAGCGGTTAAGCTGCATCCGAAGGGTTCATTTTGTTGGACTAGCCATTGGGTAAGCGTATGCTCCAGTGATCCCCTAGTACACGTAAGCCTGGATTTTGCAATTTTGGTAACTCATATAGCCTGTGACTATGTGAAAGTAGAAGCCTAAGACAGGCAGCTGTGCTTTTGTCTATTTTCTGTTTTTCGAGTAGCGATTTAGCCTTTTTTTCTATAACATCTTCCAGTGATTTTGTTTTTTTCCCATGGGTTTCAGAAGAGAATTTGCTGGGCTCGTTTAATATGTCCTTCAACTGTCTTACGTCATTGTCCTTTTTTAAATCATAAAGTCGCTTCCTTTATCTGGTCTCGAAATAGCGACACAAGTGACCTTTGTAGGTCATTTTAACCCTTAGGGTGTTGTTAAGTTAAAAAGCTAGTGCTGCGTTACCGGTGTTATTCTATCGGGATAAGTAATTTCAAGAATTTCGCGTTAAGCCATTTCGCACATTTTTATGACGTCAGCCTCAGGTAAATAACTTGTAATATGGGTACTCAAATTAGATTTCAGTGTCTGTCAGGTATATTTTCCTTCTCGGTACACAACACATGCGTCCTAAGGAAAGGGCTCTATATAAGTTTAAGGGAAATGATTCGTCTATATGTTGTATGTTGTGCGACTTAGCTAAGCTAGGCTAACCTTTCTGCTACTCATGTCTCTGATGACGAATCCGCGACGGATATCGA